TCTTCTATTTCTTTAAAAATTAATTAAGAAAATACTTTATTGACATTAAAAAAAATAAAAAAACAGAGAAGAAGAAGAAGATGCTTTTCTTTTGGAGCTTTATGCTGCAACGTTCTTTAAAATTTTGACACATTTAACGAAGAGTGTCTCTTCTCTTTAAACCCAAAACCAAAAAAAAAACCATTTTTTTTTAATTTTCTCAGTTCAGCCACCACTACCACCACCACTTCATCGCCTCTTTATTTTCTCCTCTTCACTTCCGCCGCCGTAACCTAACCGTAGGGTTCCGATAATACTTCCCAACAGTTCATAATCTAAGTCGATTTCAGATCTCCGTTACCGAACAATCGCATGTCCAAAACTTACGAAAAACAACTCATAAAGCTTCCAGATTTCGTTTGCAGAAGCTACATTTCTCCGATGTAAGCTTTTTTTTAATTTCCCGACCATCAAAACCAAAACTCTGGTTCTGTTTCCGTCATTGTGTCTCTGTGTCTCTGTGTTCTTGAGACTTTGTGATGCTTTAATTTCACCACTCGTTTAATTTGAAGTTTTTGTAGAGTTTAATTTAGTTTTTTTTTTTGTTTTTCTTCTATTTTGTCTTCGATTTAGTGTGTCGGCAACTTCACTTTACCTTGTTGTTTTTCCTAATTTAGTAATCTCCTTTTTAGAACGATGCAGCTTCTCAGATTACCTTATCTTTTTTCCTCTTTCTGCAAAAAAAAAATTTCATCATGTTTCTTTGTCTTTACTCTGTTTTGATTCTTACTCAATGATTATGAGATTTACCCTGAATTTATTAGGATTTTTCTCGGATCTGGTTAGCTTCATTATGATATGGCAATGTTGTTAACACTCACAATGTGAATTAATTTATAGACTTGTATGAGATGGACCGACGAAGTTGGCCGTGGAAGAAGAAGTCTTCTGATAAATCAATCTTAGTGATTGACTCTGCATCAGCTGATGCTGCTTCACTTTCTCAGATTGAAAAGGTATGTTTTTTTACTGTTTGTGATTTGCTTTTGTGTTAAATGTAATCAATTTGTTGAATGGTTTTTTGGGTTTGTTTGTTTTGTGGAAGTAGGAATCAGTGAAGAAGCCAAAGTATGTTCAGATATCTGTGGAGCAGTATACACATTTCACTGGTCTGGAAGAGCAAATAAAGACGTATGATGTTCAGATTGAGTCTTATGATGTTAAAGTTAAATCTTATGAGAAACAAGTTGAGACTTATGAGGAGAAGGTTAAGGATTTTGAAGAACAGATTGATGCGTATGATGAGAAGGTTCATGAGTATGATGAACAGGTGCAGAGGCTGAATGAAGATATCGAGGATTTGAATGAAAAACTTTCTTCTGCTAATGAGGAAATTGCTACTAAGGAGGCTTTAGTGAAGCAGCACTCCAAGGTTGCTGAAGATGCTGTCTCAGGTGTGCTATGTTTTGTTTTATTACTACTAGTGAATGTTTATATTATAATGTAGAGTAAAGTTTTATAGCTTTTTTTTGTTGTTGTAGGTTGGGAAAAAGCTGATGCGGAAGTTTTGACATTGAAAAATACCCTGGAGACTGTTACTCTCTCGAAACTTACAGCTGAAGACCGTGCAGCACATTTAGATGGTGCATTGAAAGAGTGTATGAGACAGATACGGAACTTGAAGAAAGACCATGAAGTGAAAATGCATGAGGTTGCTTTAAGCAAGACCAAGCAGATTGAGAAAATAACAATGGAGTTTGAAAAGAGGATGTGTGACTATGAACAGGAGCTACTAAGGTCTGCAGCGGATAGTGATGCCCTATCGAGAACTTTACAGGAGCGGTCCAACATGCTTGTAAAAATGAGTGAGGAGAAATCACGAGCTGATGCTGAAATAGAGACTCTGAAGAGCAATCTAGAGATGTGTGAAAGAGAGATAAAATCTCTCAAGTACGAAGTCCATGTAGTTTCTAAAGAGCTGGAGATACGAAACGAAGAAAAGAATATGTGTATTAGATCTGCAGAATCTGCCAACAAGCAACATTTGGAAGGGGTAAAGAAAATAACTAAGTTGGAAGCAGAATGCCAGAGACTGAGAAGTCTTGTGAGAAAGAAGTTGCCAGGCCCAGCTGCACTTGCTCAGATGAAGCTTGAGGTTGAGAACTTAGGCAGGGATAGTGGCGATGCCCGACAAAAGAGATCTCCTGTCAAGGCCTCCAGTCCGTGCAAGTCGCCGGGGGGATACTCATCAACTGGGTCTGAATTTTCTCTGGATAGTTCACAGAAATTCCAAAAGGAAAATGAATTTCTAACAGAACGTTTACTTGCGATGGAAGAAGAGACAAAAATGCTGAAAGAAGCCTTAGCAAAGCGGAATAGTGAGTTGTTAGAGTCACGGAATCTTTGTGCTCAGAGCACTAGCAAGCTTCAAAGCTTAGAAGCTCAACTGCAGCAAAATAATTCTCAGAAGTCGTCACTTGAAGTGTGTCCAAATCTGAATACGAGCAATCCATCAAGCTCAATCTCTGTTTCTGAAGATGGGAATGACGATTCTGGTAGCTGCAGTGGATCTTTGTCAACAAATCCATCACATCAAACCAAGAAAGAGAAGGAGATGGCAGCATTGGAGAGGGGTGAAAGTATTAATAGTCATGTAGAGCTTATGGATGATTTTCTTGAAATGGAGAAGTTAGCTTGTTTGCCAAATCAATCTAGCAGTAATGGTAGTATGGATTCCAAAGATTTTTCAGGTGATCAAAAGTCAGAACTGGTGATTCTTGACGGTCATACCGAACTTGAGGAGTCTGATAGAGGTAGTCCAGCGGCAGTGATGGAATTTAAATCTAGATTATCAAAGGTTATTGAATCTGTATCTACTGATGTTGACCTCCAAAAGATAGCGGCGGATATAAAATGCATTTTGCAAGATGTGAATGCTTGTATGGATCAGGAAAAGCCTTCTGAGGTGCAGGTTCATCCTGAAGAAGTTTCAGATTTATGTCCAGAACAAAGTCTGGTTGAAGATTGTCATTTGGCTGAACAAAAGCTGCAGAGCATTCACCATGATTTGAAAAATGCAGTTTCTCGGATTCATGATTTTGTTTTGTTGCTAAGAAACGAGGTAAAGATAGGTCAGGACACAGCCATTGAGGGAAATGATTTTGTTGAACTGATCGAGGGCTTCTCTGTCACGTTCAACCATGTTTTATGCGGTGACAAAAATTTGGACGATTTTGTTCTGAATCTTGCTAATGTCTTCAACGAGGCCATGGAGCTAAAGGTAAATTTTAGGGGTCTTGCTTCCTCTGAGGTTGAAACGCTGAGTCAAGATTGCATAGACAAGGTTGCATTACCCGAGAGCAAGGTTGTTGATAAAGATTCATCTCAAGAAATATATCAAAATGGATGTGTCCACAATGAGCCAGGGGTACCGTGCGATGAAAACAGAGTTTCGGGGTATGAATCAGACTCCAAATTACAGGAAATAGAAGAGCTGAAATCAGAAAAAGAAAAGATGGCAGTTGATATTGAGGGGATGAAGATTCAGTTGCAAGAATCTGAGCAGCTGTTAGCTGACATTAGATCACAGTGTGATTCTGCTCAGAGGTCAAACAACTTGGCAGATACACAACTCAGATGTATGACTGAGTCATATAGATCACTTGAATCACGTGCAGCTGATTTAGAGATCGATGTGAATCAGCTTAAGGAAAAAATAGGGAAGTTGGAGAACGAGCTTGAGGATGAAAAACGCAACCACCAAGAAGCCATTGTCAGGTGCCATGAACTCGAAGAACATATTCAAAGGTGAGTAGTATAAGCTTTACCAGAATATGAAGACAGAAAGAGCCTGGATTTACAAACTCATTTTTACATGTCTATATTTTCACTTTCTTCCAGAAACAGAAACACATCTTTGGTTGCTGAGGATGAAGAAGAAGCTGATATAAAGGGCAAACAGGTAATGTTTTCGCTACGCTTCTCAGACTCTTATATCTCAGCTTTATAGACTTGGCTATCGAATTGAAGTTCATTGCCCATTGTGCATATTCTTATTCAATGCTCTATATCTAATCACACACAAAAACAAACACTTGCATACACATATCTATAGACTCTGCATGCATTGGTCCTGAATCTTTAGGACTCTGAAGCTAACAAGAAACTAACATGGAAATATGATACAGGAGAGAGAGCTATCGGCAGCAGCAGAGAAGTTAGCGGAGTGTCAAGAAACCATATTTGTGTTGGGGAAGCAGCTGAAATCGTTTAGGCCACAACCTGAACAACTGATGAGGTCACCACAAAGACAAAATGAGTCCTATTCTGAAGAGGATACCTCGGTCCCCAAGAACTACACCGTAGTTGATGAAGGAGATTCAACTGAGCCTTGGGTGAACGGCCCTTCTGACTCAGAGACTAGCGATACGATGACATCGCCGTCACGAGTGGGTACAAGGCTGTCAAGGTCAGGTTCATCTAGCAATCCAACCCCAGAGAAAGCCTCTAGAGGAATCAGCAGGTTCTTCTCCTCCAAACCCGGATATTAATAAGCCTTTGAAAGATAATATGAGGAAGAAGCTGTGTGTATGTGTACATGATGAAATGTGATCTTTTTGTTTTACTTGGAGAATATATACTTTCGTGTGGTATCTTTTTGTTACTTACTTGCTTATCAAACGTCTTGTGCATTTTAATATTTATGCTTTGTTATTGAAGTAATCAAGAATTTAACATTGCATTCACTCAAAAGTATATTATTAACCAACAATTAAAGTAAAATAGTGTTGTCGTTTAGGAATAACATCCGGTAGTAAACCTAACATATCAAGATTACTGTAGTAAATAACGAAAACCAAACTATATAATGAAAATATTTATATTATTCACCAATAATTTGGAACCTAGGAAACATTTAAAAACCTACAAACCAACTTTTAGTTTTGGGAGTCTTTCGTTTAATGATAGTTCAAAACTTATTATTATAGATAAAATTTGATTAAGCACATGCTCAAAACTTGAAATAAAACAAATTATTTTATAAACTTAACAACAATGCGACAAGGAAGAGAGAATGATCGATCAGTGACTTAACGAGTTCTGGTGCTCTGTGGCTTCCTTCTGCCAAAAGTCTTCATGAACCACTCATGCTTGTAAGAAGTCACTATATATCCCATCGCCAGCCCAAATACAACTCCGGGTGCAAAGCCTAAACATGCTGCCATCCAACTAAATGATTCTTCTTCTTCTTCTTCTTTTGTTTCCACTAGTTCAGATTGTGTTGGCGCTTTGATATCTCCACAAACATCCTTAAGGGAAAAAGCATTAAGCCCCGGGTTTCCTTCATAGGAGGAGCAGTTTTGACGCAGAAACTGTGTGCCTTGTGGTATGGAACCTACAAGCTGGTTATGTGAAACGTTTATCCACTCGAGAGAAGAGAGAGTCCCAAGTTCAGGAGGAATCTCACCAGAAATCTTGTTTTGGGATAGGTCTAGTGACTCGAGACTCGTAAGGTTTGCCAAAGTAGATGGGATATGTCCCGTGAAAGCATTGCTTGACATGTTGAGAATACGAAGCTCCTTAAGCAGACCAATAGAATCAGGAATCGGTCCATTTAATTGATTTCCTGAAAAATCAATGGCTGTGTAGGTTGTAAGGATACGTTCCATCTCCATTGACACTCCTTTACTCATCAAGATAAGTGAGTAGTAGTAGCTTCCTAGTGAAGGACTCGTAATGTACTCTGGTTCCATATTATTATCTCTCTTGGAGGACATCGCAGTCCAATTCAAGAAGTAATCGGATGGCAATGTACCAAAGAAGCCATTATGAGATACATCAATGATTTTCAACAGCGGAAATCCGAACCAACCCCCATCAGTGTTATGTAATGTGCCATGAAACTTGTTAGAGTGGAGGACAAGGACTTGAAGTTTCTGCAGAGAATTCAAGTGGAAGGGAAACATGTCGTTGATTGCGTTGCTTCCCACATTTAAAACTTCCAAAGCAGAGCAACCAACAAGAGAAGCTGGTATTTTTCCCTCTAATCGGTTGTGACTGACGTCAAGTGACGTTAAGCTCTTGGCGTTCTGAAATATTTCAGGAATAATCCCGCTGAGTCTGTTATTACGGAGATTTAGATCCCAAAGAGAAATCGCCATCAGAGTCTTTAGACACCAAGGAATTGAGCCATAGAGGTTGTTGTTTGATAGATCTAGGACCTTTAGAGAACTTACTCCACATATTGATCGAGGGATCTCTCCAGTGAAGTTATTCTTAGAACCCAAAAAATATTGGAGATGCTTGGAGGATGGGATGAAGAGTGGTCCTTGGAAAGCATTTGAGCTTAGATCAACAGTATTGATTTGACTCTCAGGAGAAACTTGTAAGGATCCATTGAAACCGCTGAGAGAGTTGTTAGAGAGACTCACATACTCCAATTTTGGCAGTCTCCACAACCAATCTGGTACTTGACCTTTGATTTTGTTGTTGGAAAGATCTATGAATATTAAATTTCTTCTGTATCTTATGAACACAGGGAATTCCGTGATGTTGCAGCCTAGCAAAAGCAAATATTCTAAATTTGGTGAAAAATCCAAATCAGAAGTGATGTTTGTTGGTGAAAGAGGGATGCCTAAGAGAATTAATATTTGCAGCTTCTTGAGAGGCGAGAAGACATTTAAGTCAACTCCATCGACGACTTTGTTGTAATTATTATTGGTAATAGAAAAACTTTGTAAATTAGGTAACATAGAAATATTCCCAATCCATGTAAGGTCGTCGAATTGGTTATAACTCAAATGGATACTTCTCAATGAGGGGATCTTGACTAGGGATGACAGAATGGCTTTGGTATAAGGATTATCATCAGCTGAGAAAGACTCTAATTTGTAGGATTGGCTAATGATTAGTGGAAGAGAACCTGTGAACTGATTTGAAGAGAGACCGAGTGAACGTAGTTGAGTAAAATTGAGTATTGAAGCTGGCAAGTTTCCACTGAGCTTGTTAGAACTAACATCAAAATGGGTCAATTGTTTTAGATTGCTAATTGAAGATGGGATTTCACCAACAAAGTTATTATAAGAGAGATCGAGAGATAAGAGATGAGAAAGGTTCCCAACTGAAAAAGGAATCTTCCCTGTGAACTGGGAAGAGGTAAGGGTCAAAGAAATCAAATGTTTGAGGTTGATAATGGAATCAGGTAAAGGACCTGAAAAGGCTGTTCTTTCAATGCCTAGTTCTACCAAAGAGTTATTTTCACCAAAAACAGGAAGTTTGCCTCTCAGATTTGGATTGTAACTTAATGTAATGGACTGCAGGCTGGGTATCAGAAGAACACTACTTGGAAATTCTCCAAAGAGGTTGCATAAGCTTAGATCTAGTGACCTTAGAGATCGCAATTTTGAAAACTCATGGGGGATTTTTGAAGAAATGTTTACATTGCTCATATCGAGTACTCTAAGATTCCTCAAATTTTGAGCAAGTAGATGAAGAAATGATTCATCAATAGATAAAGAAGAAGAAGAATCAGAAAAACCACTAGAAGAAAGATGGAGAGACACCAACTTGGTTAGCTGAAGAAGGTTAATTGGAATTTGGCCTGAAAGTGAAGAACCAAAGAGGTTGAGTCTTTCTAGTTCCATGAGTTTATCAAACTCAGCTGGGATTGGCGAATTGTTGAAATTGTTGCCTACAAGGTTCAGATCACGGAGATGAAGCAGTTTAAACAAACTACTGTTGGATTCGAGCTTGCCGTAGAGGTAGTTGTAACGAAGGTCTAGTCCGATCACTTTCCCCGACTTAGCAGCACATGTGATACCATCCCAAGAACAACAATCACTTTTATTCACCCATGATTCTGTCTTTATATCTGAACCAACGCCCCAATCAGGTATCGAGATCAAAAACTCACTCTTGAACTCAAGAAGAGCATCCCTTTGGTCGGAATGACACAAGTGTTGTGTGGAAGAAACAACCGTGTTTAGGAAACTTGAAACGAGAAAAAGAAAACAGATGAAACGAAGAATGAAACTCATTTTTTGATTAGATGAGAAAGCTTTCATATTTGTGAATGAAGAAAAGTAATATGAAGTGGTGATGGTATATTAGTGTTGCAGCACACTTACATTTTATATTAAAAAAATCAAACACATGAAGGTCTATTGACTTGATATTTTGAAGTCTTTTCGATGAAAATTCTTCCCCACTCTAGGAATCCTTCCAAATCCAATAGACTTGACTTGAAAGAGCATATAAACTCGTTCTTGGTCTTAAAAAACATGTTGTAAGAAATTAGAAACGAAGATCAAAAAATCATTCTCAATGAGCAAAGTAAAATTGGAGTTTAGTGAGGACAAGTAGATAAATCAAAGTGCCGTGTAGCTTAAGCCAATTCTTCAACTTTAGATTGGACTTCTTATGGCATTTTCTCTATGAAATGCTTTCATAATTGTCATCTCTCCAATTCCAAACCTGGAACACACGTCAATATTAACTTTTCAAAATTTGCATTGCCTTGATTTCTTTACATGAGCCAAAACTAATTAATAATACTTTCAATATTATTTAGTAAATAAAGATTGTTGAGAATTTTTGAGAAATACCCCTTTAGGTGTACCCCTTTTTAAAAATACCCCTTTTATCTATCCATTTTCAAAAATACCCCTATTTAAATATAAAAAATTATAAAGGTTTATATAGTTTATAAGGTACTTCTATATAATAACTACTACTGGGAGATTCGATATAAATATTTAAAAATGTTTTAAATAGTTTTTAATCGTTTTTATAAGTTTTATAAGGTTTTTAAATGGTTTTTAAAAGTGTTTATACAGTTTTTATAAGGGTTTTATATGGTTTTTATAATTTATTTTTACGCTATTTATGAAAGGTATATAAATTTTTATACACATATAAAGGTAATTTGTGTATATATTTATAAGGTTACACACATATTTGGATAAATTTTAATATTTTTAGTGGTTTTTTTAATAAAGTTTGAAAAAGATGTATTTTTAAAAAGAGGTATATGAAAAGTGGTATTTTTGAAATTCCCCCAAAATTGTTCGAAGAGTTTTGTTCTCAAAACAATGCTCATTGGCTAATATCACACCAAACCCATACGTTACGTTTTATCTCTCACGGCCTCTTCTTCCCTCAATTTTCTGTTGAATCATGTATGTAGTTTCTTACATGTTTCTTATGGCAGTTTCTATTAAAATTGACAATCTATTTTTTTTTATATACAAAATCTACTCCTTTTGTATAAAGTTGAATAGTCTTGGGCGTTCGGTTCCGGATATATCAAATTCGGTTCCGGGTATTTCTGGTAGTGGAATTTACTATCAATTCGGTAATTACGTTAGTTTCGGTTTGGTTTAGTTCCTCATTTTTTGGTTCGGTTTCGGTTCGGTTGTTTTTGCCTGGACAAAGTTGAACCAAGTATTGTCTAAAACTGTGGTTCGAAATTGATGCTTCGTTTCCATTTAATCATGTAACCTTAAAGTGCCAAACAAATTAGTTTTAAAGCTTCGTTATAAACACAGATGTGTTCAGGTTGCTGTCGATTACATTTGACATCCAAGGGCTACTAAGTATAATTATATATCTTATATTAGGGTACAAGCTGAATGCCATTAGATCATGTTTAAAGGTGTTCTCTTAGAATGTTGCATCTTTTATTTTAAACAATAGAGAAACCCAAAAAATTACAAAAAAAAACAAATACTCGATTAGGAAGGATTTGGGCTCAAAAGGCGTAAAAAAAACGTAACATGAAAATTTTGTATTATTCAACCTTTTCCCAGTAATTGGAATTTTTAAGGTTTCAAATAACTTGGTTCTCAGCTGCTGAAGTTGCTCCATAAATCTGTTAGGCTCACCTCTGCATCTGACTCGAACCAGTAATCTGCTTTTAACTGGCAATAAAAGAACAAAAGACTCAACTTAACCGCAACATACATATATGAGACTGATCTTGAAACGAGTATCAGTGGATCTGACTGAATACTTACATCAGTATCTGAAGTTACTATTTTCAGATACTGATGTCCACTCTAGATGGAGCTTTTTGATCAGACTCATGACCCAACTTGTCACTTGTTTCACCACTGTCTCCTTTGTATTTGCTGCAACCAATGTTTGTTCTCAGTTATTAGCACTGACTGACCAGTATAGATAAGACAGGAGGACACACAGAGAGGAATGTGTAGGTTAAGTACCTTAAAAGATAGACATCAATTGGCCCCATTCTACTCCTAATCACCATCCGGTATTGTCGTTGCGGAAAATGCATCTATCATGAACCAAAACAGATGCTTCATTTTGTGGACACATCATATTAAAACTGTACACTATATGTAAGTATGAAAAACGCTTACCTCATCAGGATCTGGAACTTCAATGTAACTAGCTGTAGGAGCTTTTATTGCTAGTAATGTCTGGTTCTGTATCAAGGACTAATGGTTTAGTATATTAAATAACTGAGGAAAACATAAGATGATTTTCAAGAACTAGTTGGGGAGGACCTGAAACCGTGGGAGACTCGTTATATCCTCCTCCGTCATAAACATGTACCTGTTTATTTTTGTCATCGGTCTAAGCAAAGTTCGCGTGTAGATACAAAAAGATGAGAATCAAATTAATGGACAGAAACCTTCTACAATATTCATCTTCCTCCAAGGATCTCAAAGCTTCTTGTCTTTCCCTGGAGATATATAACATAACTTAAAACCATGTAAAAGAAGAACAATTAATTCTGCAAATCAGATATAAGAACATAAGCAACCAACCTTATAAGATCATCCAACCTGCTTTCCTCAAATCGCATACTTTCTACCTCTGACTGAAAATACATAAATATGCTACTGGTTATTCCATGGGGGGTTTGAAATAAGCGTGTGAATAACTATATTGTCAGATTGCCAAAATGCCGAATACACAAGAACATCTTATATCCCCAACATATGCATTTATAAAAAAGTATGTGATCAGTTATTTGGATTGAAAAAATTGGAATCACGACTTCTTTCTTGAATATGTGATCATTTATTCTAATGCAGTAAGTTCTACGACAAAGTAATATGTAGTGCCCTTGTCTATGAACCTTAAGCCTGTTAATTTGATCTCCCAGGTCCTTCTGTCCAAGATTGTCGGCTCCTCTGCATCAATGTGCCAAACCAAAGGTCAGAAGAACATAAGTTAAATACACTGCGTTTTATCTAAGTAAGAAAGGATTGTGTAATTACTTCCAGCGGATATGGTTCTTTGTAGTTTTCTCTATCAATCCAATTCCTTCAAGGACATTTGTAATATCATATATCCTTCTTTTTTGTACCTGTTAAGAGGAACCGCAGGCACATAAGAGGAGATTCTAACAAACTGAGAGATACCTAATGAGTTTAGCTAGCCTAGCAGCAAAGAGTTGTGAATCAATATATCAAACACTTTAAGGCAATGGTTATACAGGTGAGCCTTTAGTCCACATATAAGCACATTCTTAATTAGATGTTCTGCAATTTGAAAGATATCTTTTTAGCTCAATATAAAGATACATTTTGCATACCTCCAAAACATCTGCACAATAGTTAAGGTCAAGTGTTCCATCCTCAGCTTCCTGAATCAACTTGACGAATTTCTTTGTCAACAACCCTACGAAACGAAAGAGACAACGATACAATTAGTGGTGTTATCTCCATACCAACATAAACATTATAAAAAAAGTAAACAGAACTAGATGTGATTGCGCTTTGCAGTACTTACCTAGAGAACTGTCGTAACGGCAGTTATTACTAGCTACAATTAGACCACCATTTTGAGCTTCTGCATACAAAAAATCAATCACAACAATGCTAAATACAACATATTACAACATCAACAAACAAATCACATTCTGAGATTCAACTGAAGAAATTTGATCAGAAAGCAAATACCGCCGTTGGCCATTCGTTTCCCGGCCTTTGACTGTTTAGTACCCTTTGACTTGTTGTATACACGTTTAACAACGTCTTGAGGAGTCTCTTGTTTCACTATTACTTTAGCTATATCAATGCTTTCTCCAGACATGTTCGCCATGGATCCAAGCTGAATTCGATGATTCTTTATACTCTTCTGCTGCAAAAAAAAAGATAAACTCAATAACATAGCTAACAATCACCAAAAACACAAATCTAAATTCACAATTAAATAAGTTCCCCCAAGTTTGTAGAATTCTAAATTTGAGATTAGAGATCCATTGCTACAGTGAAGCGAATTGAAAGCTAGAGATCCAATTTTGGATTAAGTTTCCTTAATGAACAAAACTTCATTCAATTTTTTTTTCGCGAAATTTGGGATCAAGGAAAAAAATTAAAACCTAGCTCTCACAAAACTCAAGCTCGGAATCAAAATCGAAGAAAGAATCTACGAAAAGTATGAACTCACAACTTTATGAGTGATATGAGAGTAAGAATCGTCCCAGTGAGAAGGAATTAGAGGAGACTGTTGAGTATTGGGAAGCGATTCAGAGACTAAGAAAGGCCGATTCGTTGAAGAAGGATTGAGAGAAGAGTAACGAGGATCAGAGGAAGAGATAGATTGAAGTAATTCGAAGCGAAAAGGAGATCGGTGGTGGTGAAGGTAAGAGAGAGTCGGATCTTCACCAGAGTTTGATGTCGCGGCCATGTAACGGCGGTGTATCACCGGTGTTTGTAAGATTCTGGGGATTCGAGAGTTTTGAAGCGATTTTGCGGAGAGTTTTTGAGAATCGTGATTTAGGTTTTTGTTGAGGGGGAGATGGGTGAAGGAAGAAGAAGAGGGAAGATGGAGAAAAAGATGGAGAGAGAAGAGAGGAAACAGCGGGAAGAAGAGGAAGGGTAAATGTGTCTTTTTGTTGTATTAAAAAGATTATTATAAAAGAGAAAAAACAAAAATGGGATTGTGTGAAAAAGAGCGGTGGGCGAGAGAAGTTGGAGAGAGTTTCGAATTTTGCCGTAGCCCCGCCTAACTTCTTCCTCTTTTATTATTTTTGACTTTTTTGATAACTGTTTGGGCTTGGTGTTGGGTTTGGTGTTGGGCTAGAATTTGGGCTTTTATTGAGCTTTGATCTGTGTTGATAACGGGCCCTTGAATGTAGCTAAGTGGATTTTAGAACAATGTTCTGAATGCTCTAGGATTCAGGGTTTACTGTCTTGCTTTGTCTTTTGTTTTTTTATAAGAATGTAATATTATTATAAAATGAAAAGTTTAGGTTATTGCATGATGCATAAGTTAAATACATTGTCTTATGCTAAAAGAGAAAAGGTAAAAAACATGAAAGCATAAACCGTTTGAACTTTATTGTGTCCACTAAAACCTTAAGCGATTAAGTTTTAGGTGTAGAGATAATCTTGTCCTAGTAATTAAAGGTTTTAAAATTTTAATTTCCAAAAAAATGGAAAGAAATATACAGTTAACTAAATATAAGAGTGGAAATGGGTCCAAAGTAGACTAATAATGTGTTTCTTAAGAGTTAAACCTTGTTGTCTTTGTCTTTAGTTTAAGAGTTCTTCCTCTTTTCGATTTAATTTTCAATTTTCTAGTACTTTTTTTGTATGTTTCTGAGAATTTTTGTATCGTTCACCGGTTTTGTTCCCCTTATTTGGACTTTAAATTTCGAGGATATCTTTGTTTTCTCATCTTATATTCCTCTTTGTTTTCTCAATATTATTAATTGACAAAAAAGGTCCAAATTATCAAAATACACATAAAAAAAACAAGATTTTTATAACAAATAATCTATAAAAAAAATTATAGGGTCCGGAGGACATGTTTTTGCTTCTCCGATGGCCCGTAGGCCAAAGACACCCACCTTGGGGGTATGGGATGGATCATTCACGACCCCCACTCCTCTTTCAGGCTCCAAGGAGCCTCTTCAAGACCTTGTGTGTCCTCGGCCCTGGTGGCGGAGTCACTCGCTTTGAAGGCTGGAATTCTTGCAGCTCAAAGCTCGGGCATCGTCAGACTGGCTTGTTTTTCGGATTGTCTAGAACTTATTCTTCTTCTTAATTCCGGAGACCATGTCAATGAATTGGAGGGTATTGTCACTGACATCCACCTTGCCAGCTTATCTTTTTCGTCAATTTCCTTTCATCATGTCTCTAGGACCATGAATTCGCAGGCTGATGCGTTAGCTAAATCTGCTCTATCTTGTTGTATTCCCTCTTCTGGGTGATCTCTGAGTTTCTGCTCTTTAATATAATAGTTGGTTTTCAAAAAAAAAAAAATTATAGGGTCCAAATTATCTTTTTTGCCCAAAGCCCATTATTTTCTTGAGCCGGGAGAGAGCAACACATGCACTTAGCAGCAAGCAATCCTTTCTCCCTCTACCAAGTTCCCCCTCAAGTCAAAATAGTGCAGAGCCTCGCAAGTCGCAACGATCACATCCTCTAAAAGCCTTACTAACACCTCCAATCACAAGAGTGAATCACATTGCTTTGTCATTTTCAAGAAAACCGGACTCCAGAACATGGATGGTGTAATTCTATCTCTACCGTATTTTTTTGTAAATATTTTAAACAATTGAAGAGAGATTTAGTATAGTTAGCTTAGTGATATATCAGGTTAAATACTGATCTCTCTAGCTAGGTTAAAGTTATTTATTCTCTTATAAAGAAGTATAACCACACTTGTTGCTTTGACGAAAATATATCACAACAAAACGTGTGGTTTCTAATTACCCAATTCATTGTATTTACAAATTAAATTGTATCATGTAAATTGCTTCGCCAAGTTTCCATTGTGACAATCTAAACCATTACAACAAAACTTACAATTCCATATAGCAGATGAAATTTGAAATGCATTTGTTAACTATAATTTTGATTAGGAGAAGAATAATCACCAAAGTAAAATTTCTAAGAATTTTCTTCAATAAATCAAAGTTACGAGGTTTGCTAATGCTACCATGTAATTGATTAAGGTGGGTTAAATCAACTTCCCTAAGTTAGATCTTAAACCTTACTGTAAATAGCAAACAAATGAAACAATATAAAACACACATTTTCATTTTCGTCCAAATTGCATGTGACAACTTTTTGAAAGAAAAATAAATTATTTCAATTTTAATAAATACAACGTCCTTCTAAGACATTATCCATATTTTTAATTTAATAGAACCATATAAGTGTGACACTGGATCAGAAAAAGAAAAAGAAAATCATAATTTTTAATATAAGTGTGACAGAACAAAAGAAAAAGATTATCCATATACAAGTGAGAGTTTGTCTGGATTTCTTTTTTGTTGTCCTAAATTTGTAAGTGCAGTAACGCGAAATTTCATGTCTTGTCTGGTCTCTTTTTATTTAAAAAAAAACTATACTGTGAATCTATGATATATCATATAGACATCAAAATCTTGTTATATTCTTTTCAACTTAAATCAATACCTAAAATAATATGGAGCATCTTCTTTTCAAACTAACCTCTCTGCAAGATCTTCACTCAGATTAGAAAATACCATATAATTACTTCTCACCTAGATTAAATTAACCTCTCTCAAGTCTCAACATAAGCTATATTTTTTTTTATAAACTCTAGTTGACTGATCCGGTCAGCCCCGGTAGAAACACACCAAAGTGTTTAAAAGTGTTTCAGAGTGGACTTTTCTCCGAAGGGTCACCATATTGTGTATCCCGAGTTTGTAATGTTTTCCGACTAATGCCAAGGGGTAATCAGGCCGCCTGCATTTCTGACTACCAGGTAAATCAACTGGACCTTAACGCAATTGACAAACTTAACCATGATTTTTGTTTTCAGGGTGGATCGAACTTGGGTTAGTTCCTTCCAACATTTCCACAATTCTCCCTTATCACTGAACCACAGCCGTGCGCGGGCAATATAACATAAGCTATATATATATCAACCTTAAATGACAAAGTTATGAAAATTAATTCTCACGTTAAATTCAAAACAACATTAATTTCAACTTTAGTTATCATTAATAAACTTTGGTAATTGTTTGTTTATTTGGATCGTTGATTTATAATGAGTCTTGAGTCATTATAACCACAATGGAAACTTTTATGTATATGGTAATTGTTACCATACTTTTATTATAGTCGTTGTTAATTACATGAAATTTCGTACGTACGTATATGCTTCTTTTTTTTTTTTTCTTCGGCTGCGTGGAACGAAGTGGACACATGTGTAAATGCATGTACATTAGTGGCCGGCATGTGTGCGTATTTTGTTGTACAATATATTACAAAACTAAATCATAATTACATAAGTATGAAAACATATATATACGTGAAAATAAAATAAAAAAGGATCTACGAGAAGAGAGTAGATGACAAAGCGAATAAAGGTAAGACATGTGAGAGAAGAGGCCATGTTTTGCGGCAATATCACGAGGGCCACTAGTAGCTTTTTGTGTTAAAACTTTATAATCTCGATGTGTATATATGTATGTGTTTCGATCTCTTCTTGGCTTCTCCTACTTGAACTTTAGCTTCTTACCGCACCTTCTTCTCCGACTATCTTATAAGTCTTAGAAGTACCACTTTTTTCTCTTTACTACCAAAGACTTTTCAGCATTTCACATTATATGCATTTTTATGTTTCATTGTCATTTAATTGGACCATAAAATTTAGTAGTTAGTATAACAGAATTATTATTATTTTTAACACTATTTTTCAAGTTTAGTCACTTGATTTTTATGTTGATAAAGATATTGGGTTTGATTAGTAACAAACGCAAAAATGTACAGAGAAAAGCAGTAAATTGGAACGGTAAGTGAAATAGTGCAAAATTGTAAGAAATATCTATCTATAAAAACTGTACAAAAGAATTGAGAATAAAATTTTAAGCAAAGCTGTAAAATTGTAAGAAATATCTTTTTTTGCCAAGGATACAATTTGTATTGGTTGTATAAACCAAACTCTTTCATATTATATGATATTTGCAGTTTAGCAAAAAAAAAATTTTAAGCAAAGCTTTTAACATTTTTATGATTGGTAAATTTAAAAACTGTATATTTTGTAAAGCTTTGTACCGTTTCGTAAAATTGTCACCAATCAAAGTCATTAACCAGTTACTTTTCATGTCCTATTCCCATCTTGAATATATTGATCAGTTATATTATACACATATATTGGTACCAAACAGTGTAAGTAATTGGGTCTTATTAGATAGCAAATGAGCATGCAAGATTTGTAGATAGTGAGATATACTTAAATATAGTGAAACCGAATCATTTTATTTCTAAAATATATATTTGCATCATTTCAATTATATGCGAGGAGTGAGACCTATGTACAATATATAGCAGTTCAGTCATATACAATACAGGTTCTTCACATATATTAATATACTCTTGTCTTTTCTTTTTTCTTTTTGCTTAAAAAAGATAGCTGGTAAAGTACGTTTATCTTTTTGATTTTAATAAAAAGTAACTTTTAGATTCGTTCGTAAATGATGAATATATAGTCTCATAAGATAAGGCTGTGATGAAAATGCTGACTTGCATGGCATTACAATAAACTAAAATACTGTTTCCGGATAGGTTTCGACTCTGGTCTCTTTGGCTTCATGTCTTTTTACCTTTGTTAAACTTGATTTTAGCATAATTGTGTATATATGGATAAGGATAACATACTAAAAGTTATTAATTAATGTTGTTTTGTTAAATTTTTTATTTTAAACATATATACAAGTAAAATTATATTTAATATTCATATATATATATATATATATATATAGCATGTGTAAAAAAAATTAATATAGCTAGTTCTTACAAAACAGATTTTATATGTTAATTGAAAATCTAAGTAATCTTCAATATATCTTTTGATACTCAAGAAAGTATTGTAAAGTTCTGTAATTCAAATGGTTGATATATATCAATATATTTCTTCTACAAATTCTCTAAAATAAAATATGACAACTTTAGTCATTTACAAAAAGAATATTATCAAATTGGTAGTAGCTCTTTCTATGCCTCCTGCCAAACATAATAGGTCGTGGTCCGGAAAGCTAAGTGCATTAGTGCAACATGATACTTTTCAAACGTTCCAAAGCGATGTGTAGAAGACATTTACTATATAATTAGTATTATGGAACCAATTATATATATCAAGTGTATCTGTCAATCGCATGACACGTGAATTTTGGACAGCATTAAGATATTTTAAGGAGTGACATCTCCCCCAATAGTCCTTTTTTTTCTAAAAAACATCAAATTCTCTATTCCTAAATCTAAGTTTTTGGTATTAATAAGTGGAACTTAAACTTATGTCTATGGTAATTAGATTAGTTTAAAGTTTTGTAACGGTATATGTATACTATCTTTGCATTAGTCCTAGAAACATGGAGAAACAAAAAGACAAACAGAACGGTGGCCAACTCCACTACATAGCCTAATGCATACAACTTAAAATAATCACGAATCATATATATGTTTGTAGTTGATATCATCACCTACTCCAATTAATATATATCAACTTTGTTATCTTATGACGAGTGTGTATATTGCCATTATACATAACACACCAAAATCTAAATCTGGATCTGTGTCAACGTTTTGTATGGTTGGATTCCATGTAGAAACTATCAAAAATGTCATTGTGCTTCCTAATATTTAATAAAGTGGGTGTATTGATATATAACTCTATACACATATGTATGGATTAGTTTGTTTTGATCCCACTCGGTCACTTAAGTCTTCTCGGATCCCATTCCCACCAAAAACATAAACAAAACAACAAAGATTCTAATCTCTCTCTCTTTCTCTTTATCCCTCTCTTCTTGTATGTATTGTATATTCTCTATATATTGAAGAGAGTGTAATCTAGTTTTCAATTCTATTTTCACTTTCTCTTTTGCATCATGGCTCCTCTCCCTTTCATACCAGAAACAACACACAAGCAAAGGCGTTTATCTTCTGAACAAAAGAAGAAGAACACAAAGAAGAAAACGTCTCAACCACTGCCTCAGACACAAACACAAAAGCTAAAGCAGAAGACGGTACCATCAACAACATCATCATCATCGTCTTCGTCGTCATGGAGCCAGATAAAGAACCTTTTGAGTTGCAAACAAGTCGAAGGGCCACGAGTGCATGAACCATCAAAGATTACTTCTTCTTCTTGTGGCTCTTCTCTTTGTAAGTTTAGTGATGTTATTTACGGTAATGCTCGAGTGATCCACCGTTCAGACCATTCCCCCGAGAGTAGTAATCTAGGCCAAGATGCCCGGTTGTTGACCCGAAAACCCGTTAACCGCGAATCGTCTTTATCGGTTAGATCCAATGGTTGTGGCGCTTACTCGTCGTATTCAACTTCTAAAGCTATGCACTTCAGAAAACTCTCTGGTTGCTATGAGTGTCACATGATTGTTGATCCAAGCAGGTTCATAACTTTTTATTCTTACTACTTGATTATTTCTGAATAATTACTATGTAATTAGTTAATTTATAATGATTTGTTTATATAATTAGGTATCCAATAGCACCAAGAGTATGTGCATGTCCACAGTGTGGAGAGGTCTTCCCTAAGCTTGAATCATTGGAGCTTCATCAAGCAGTTCGTCACGCCGGTATGCATCCCTTTAACTAATTTATTTCTTTGCATATGAAACTTTTTTTCTATTAATATCAAATTCATAAAAACATGAAGGCATTAGTAGTTTATGCCATTTTAGATCAGACATATAAAGTTATTTTAGAATGATAAAGCAAGACATATATAAAGTTCAATTTAAGTCGAACCTGTTTTTGGTTTAATCAAAAATAAAATTTATTTTTTTATTTCCTCTTTTGGATTTTACTTTTAATTAATTTTCGAGAAGATTAAAATATCTGTAATGGTCTGTCTTTTATTAAATTATTATTTCCTTTTCTCGTAACCGGGGCCATAAATCTGGCATGTCATGTCGTTGTTTTTGGATGTGTGTTCGTGTTTTTTCACGTCGTTGTTTTTTTGGATATAATACATGGTGCTAAGATTAAGAATATTTTATGTCATAATCACATATTTAGCGACATATTAACATCGTTATAATCGTTAATTTACCATATCATGTTTCTGATTTTTTTTCTCGTGTTTTGGTTTACTAAAGACCTTTCATGAATGGCTGAACAAAATTGGATTATTTTATATAATATGGTAATATAATTGTATCGGCCATGTTCATATATATATATACACAAGTAAAAACATCTTTGTAATGATTTTATATTATAAGTATTTTTTGACGATCTATAATTTTTTAATTTCATCAATTCGAGATAGATTATCTTTATATTGAAAAACATATCTCTGTAAAAACAAAAAACCAATCTAATTGAGAAAATAAAAAAATGAAACACTTTTTAAGGTAAAACTCGATATTCTTACTATCAGTTTGAAACTTTAAGGTAGATATATATATAGATAAATCTTGGATTCCTTCTACTTGTGGTATATATTTTAAGAATATTCATCTCTCTATATCGACCAAAAAAAACATATGTGAAGATGTTTTTTGTAATATAGTTAATTTTGATAACAGTGTCGGAGTTGGGGCCAGAGGATTCAGGGAGAAACATAGTAGACATCATCTTCAAATCTAGCTGGTTACGTAAAGACAGTCCCATCTACAAAATCGAACGGATACTAAAAGTCCACAACACTCAACGCACGATCCAACGGTTTGAAGATTGTCGCGACGTAGTCAAGTCCCATGCACACGCCTCCACTAGAAAAGAGCCAAGATCAGCCGCCGACGGCAACGAGCTTCTCCGGTTCCACTGCACCACAGTTTCTTGCTCTCTCGGCTCCCGTGGCTCGACCTCTCTTTGCTCAGCCGTCCCCGGCTGCCGAGTTTGCACCATTATCCGCCACGGCTTCCACGCCAAAACGGTGCGTTTAGGGAACGGTGAAGGGAAGGAAGAGATCAAGGGAGTTAGGACCACTGCGAGTAGTGGAAGAGCACATGACGTTTTGAGATGCTTTGACCAGCGAAGGGCCATGCTTGTTTGCCGCGTGATTGCGGGAAGAGTGAGACGAGTGCAGAGTGACGTGTCGCCGGAAGATGAAAGTGGTTCTGGCTCGTATGATTCGGTCGCGGGGCCGGCTGGGGTCTATGCAAGTCTCGACGACTTGGTTGTGTATAATCCCAAGGCCATACTTCCTTGTTTTGTAGTTATCTACAAAGTCTCCGAGCCTTAAAAAAGTATTTGCACTTTATATGATTTGGATTTGTAAGTTTTTTAGTGGAATGTTTTGTAGTAGTGGATTGTATTATTTAGGGGGAAAGTGTTAGCATATTTGTTGTGTAGAGGTGTGTGACATAGTAAAGAGTGAAAGACTAATATCTTTTTTTTGGTTTTCATTAATCGCTTGTATTATTTCTTCAAATATGACATTTCTCATTCGACTTGCTTTTTTGTTTTTCTCTTTAATGTAATGCTTTATTGATTAAACACATATGCTTAACATTTTTCATTCGACTTGCTTTAATCTTTTTTTAAGAATATTTTTAAAACAACGTTGCACTTGTTGTAAAAACACTAATTTTTCTTTTTAAATATAATTTAACATTAATTTTTTTTTAAAACTATATAGAAAATAATGGTTTTCTGTTTTTCGAAACCGTCTCAGCTCAATCCGAGACATAGGTGATCCTTGTTATGATGATGGTCTCCGCCTCTGATTCTCCACCCGCTAAGATTCACATATAGCTTTTTAAATTATGTTTTATTTTCTAAATACTTTCTAATTTTTCAAACAACTGAAGCATTCTTTGTACACATGGTTTTTGATTGAATAAAAATTTATATTCAATTGAAAAAAAAAAAATGGCTTTATGTTTGCCAATGTAATTGCTAAGAAACCTCTAGTGGTATAACTTTAAACTCGAACTTCAAATCAACATGATACATGAATAACTTTTGATTATCTTTATCGATTCGCTTTAAAAGTTTTGTATTGGAGCATATATTCTCAGTATGAAGATTATTGCGTTGTGTGTGTTATTGTGTTAGATTCCAAACTTGATCCATTCCTTATTAGAGTGATGCACACGAGAGTTTTTGATAATCTACCTCACAACACAGTATAAAGCAACATAAGCTAAGATTCATGCCTTTTCGAGTGATGCATCTCCGATAATATATATCTTAGGGATATCTTATGTAAGCATTTTCAGATAAATTGTTAGTTTTTATAACATTATTCTATTTGAGGATTTTTCAATGAAATTCTGAGATGATAATCTCAACTTCTTTTTTTTTCTAAGAACCTCTCCCTAGTTTCTTTTTTATTTTCTCTTACTATCAGACCATTTAAAAACCGTCAATTAATGTGAATATTTTTAGAAATCAAATTACTCAAAATTTTACGAAAGCTTGTTCATCCTCACTTCATCTTTTTTTTTTCAATTCTTTTTTATAATTTCTTTTTGGAGAAAAAGCCAAAAATATGTCTTTTAATTTTTATTTGAACTCTTTTTTATCGAACGAAAATATTTCAATTATATATATTTGGTTTAAAAATACATAAAAAATTATACATAATAATACAAATACGTTAGCGTAATATGGTGATATTAAGTGGGTTTTAATTTCTCTTAGATCATGGATTCGAATAATACAAATTGTATTTTTTTTGCTCGAACTCGTGACCTATGAGTAATTAAAACTCATTAGATACCACTAGACTATGCCAATTTAGTTATATTACTAAATGTATAAATTGTATATAACTATTAAATATGTGGAAGTAAAATTTAACATGTTTACTTTCTATATAACGATTGGTAACAACGGTTAAGTCGCATGTGTGAATCTGTTACCAATTTAAAAATTAAAATTTATTTACACCAAAAATATATAAATAAAATTAATATTTTTCTTTAAATAAAAGACAAGATACTAAACGCTCAAATAAAAAATAAACAGAATATTTTTCAAAATTTTCTCCTATTTTACTAGGACATAATTTTCTTTTCTTTAGCATGTAATCTTGACAATTTTCAAGTCTACTAATTTACGGTATTTTCTAATAGACGAAAACATTATTCAAAGTTGTGGCTAGCTATGATGATACCAATCTCCTTTTTTAATATAAAATCATGTTTCGATTAACCTATTAAATTATGGACCAAAACGATGTGCGGCGATCAGAGCATATCCAGGTATTGCACTTCAAGTGAAAAAAAAGGTTGAAAAAAAAAAAAAAAAAGGTTGACGTAACAGAAAATTAGAAAATTGCTCGGACAAAAAAAAAAAAGACTTCTTCTCTTAAAACCCAACAGTAGTGAAAGAATCAAATTAAAGTAGCCAAGTAGCAGAGCAACTAGTTTATAAAAAAAAACTTAGTTCTGAGAGAGAGAGAGAGGAGACAAAGTTGACTTTGGGATCTTCGTGCTTACAAAACAGAACCAAACTTAAGACAATGTCACTCATGTTCGCTTCCCCTGTCGTCACACCAACCGTCGGATCTTTCACCTTCTCATCACGCCGCCGCTCCAACTACATCGTGATGTCCGCCGTCCGATCTAACTCGACTTCACTATGTCCTGTACTGACAAAGTTTCAGAAAGACTGTGCCACTCCTACACCTTACTTACGTGAAGTAGCCAACGCCATTGCCAATGACATGCGAGCTGGTCTAGCTGTTGATGGAGGTGGAGATCTTGAGATGATCTTGACTTATGTTGATGCTTTGCCTTCTGGGTATCTTTTTTTTACTTTCTTTTATTTTATTAACATTATGTTTAGTGAATAGTGATGATAAAGATGATTAAAGTTTCAGCTAGCAAGAAAAAAAAAGTGTTGAGTCTTAAGATTTTGATTACATTTTGATGGATATAGGAATGAGGAAGGGTTGTTCTATGCATTGGATTTAGGAGGTACGAATTTTCGGGTGCGTAGTGTGCAATTAGGAGGAAGAGAAGAGCGTGTTGTAGCTACCGAGTCTGAACAAATATCTATTCCTCATAAGCTTATGGTTGGTACAAGTGAGGTAATGTGTAGTATGATGCAATAACTTTAATACATTGGTGAGTGTTAATTGTAATGGCTAATTGGGTTTGAACGTTTTAGGAGCTTTTTGGGTTCATTGCTACTAAGTTGGCAAGCTTTGTTGCAAAGGAGAAGCCGGGGCGGTTTCGGTTGGAACAAGGGAAGAAAAGGGAGATAGGATTTACCTTTTCATTCCCTGTGAAGCAAACTTCTATTGATTCAGGCACATTGATCAAGTGGACTAAAGGGTTTAATGTGTCTGGAATGGTGAGTCTATGTGCTATCATTAATTTGGTCACAAGTTCTTATGTGATTTTAAATTCTAATAACCTTTTAAATGTTGTTTTTGTAGGAAGGAAAAAACGTGGTTGCTTGTTTAAATGAAGCTATGGAAGCACGTGGACTCGATATGCGAGTTTCTGCTCTCGTATGTCTTCTTTATCTTGAGTAGATGGAAACTCTTGTCTTGTGCAAATTGGAAGTTTGTTGACGTTTGTGTGTTTAAGGTAAATGATGGAGTGGGAACATTAGCTGGAGCAAGGTATTGGGATGAGGATGTGATGGTCGGTGTGATTCTAGGCACTGGGACCAATGCTTGTTATGTAGAGCAGAAGCATGCTATTCCTAAACTCCAAAGCAAATCATCTTCTGGAATAACGGTATTCTTGTTTTTTTTTTTTTATAAATGTACTTTGGTTTTTTTTTATGTTCTCATGCTTAATATGTTTTGATTTGGAATTAGATCATTAACACGGAGTGGGGAGGGTTCTCTAAGATTCTTCCATGGACTATTTTTGATCGAGAGATGGATGAGAAAAGCCTGAATCCTGGTGAACATGTAGTAGAATATTATCCTTTCTCTCTAACAACATTGTACTTTTGATGTTTTGTTAATGTATGGTGTCATAAGTTAACAATTGTTTACTATTTGTGTGTGGTTGAAGTTATATGAGAAGATGATCTCAGGGATGTACCTTGGTGAAATTGTGAGGAGGGTTTTGCTACAAATGTGTGAAACTACTGACTTGTTCGGACAATTCGTTCCTGTCAAACTCTCCACTCCCTTTGCACTCAGGTACTTCTCTCTCACTATCTTTCTCCAATTCCAAATTGGTTGAGGTGGCAAATATGCAGTTTGGTTTGACGCAATTTTGGTTTATTCATTTCAAGTTTGAATAAATTATACAAGAATCGGCTTTGGTTAAGTTTCGATTTTGGTTTAGTTGCGATTTCAGTTTGTTCGATTTTAAACCATAAAAACCAATATGGTCATAAAACACATTTTGATACAAACAATTCAGTTCAGCTTTAGCTATAGCTTATCCATAGATTCAGTATCCTAAAATAGCATTATCTCAAAGTGGCCGTGGGTTTAGCCTTTTAGTTAATTAGGCCTTTGAAACTTGATTAGCTGATAAAATGTTGAAACTTCCTAAATGAGTTTTATTAATCAGTGTGTTAATTTTGTATAGGACCGAGCATCTATGCAAAATTCAAGAAGACAATACTGATGATCTTCAAATTGTTGGATCAGTCCTATATGACAATTTAGAGGTAGGTTGCTAATTTAAATAGAAAACAATCACATCCATAGATTGGATAACCTTACCAACCTGATCGAGCTTTTTGGAAATAGTTGGAGGCAACGAATCTGGAGGCGAGGAGGAGAGTGGTCGAACTGTGTGACACAGTAGTGAAACGCGGAGGGCGTCTAGCTGGAGCTGGTGTAGTAGCACTTCTAGAGAAGATTGAAGAAGATACCAAAAGGATGAGTTCAGGTAAAAGAACAGTTGTGGCTATGGACGGTGCACTCTACGAGAAGTACCCGCAGTATCGAGAGTATATGCAAGATGTACTAGTTGAGCTTCTTGGCCATAAGCTAGCAAGTTACGTTGCGATCAAACATACCAAAGACGTTTCTGGTCTCGGTGCTGCTCTTTTGGCTGCTACTAACTCCATTTACTAGTTGAATAACAGGGAATTTAAAAAAAAATCCAAAATCCTCTAGAATTCTACTTTCAATCCCTAAGTACTTCATGATTATAGAGACTTGGTCCATTTGTTTTGTGTACATTATATCATATATCAATAAGAGTGTTAGACCAACATTATTGGTAGGCTCTTATAAGTGAAACAGAGTATCTTAGCACAGTGTTTTGTGCTAAGATACTCTGTTTCACTTATAAGAGGAAGATTATCAATGGTATCTAACATTTTAATCTTAGAGTTAGTTTAATAATAAATTTGAAAAAGTAAGAGTTAATAGTTGTACTTGTGTTTTTAGTTTTGAGACATCTTTATTGTTAGTATCTTAGGTTAAGGATCTTAGGACAAGAAAAATTATATATAAAATAAATTAAAGTAAAATTTATAATTTGAAAAAACTTTATAATTATTGAAATTTTTTAAATTTAAAACATACATAAGATAAAATTAAGGAAAGAGAGAAAGAAGAGAAAAATTAAGAAAATTGATTTTTCCCCTTACTTATCCTAGAGAATTTTTGATGAAAGAAGTGTATCGCTTTTTAAAAATACCCTTCTTTTCTATCCATTTTTAAAAATACCCATTTTCAAATATGAAAAATTATAAACTTTTATATGTTTGATAAAGTACATCAAGATCATAATTACTACGGGAAGACTAAATCCAAATTATTATAAGGTTTTAAAAGGTTCTAAACGACATTTATAAGGTTTTACAAGGTTTTTAAAAGGCTTACAAAGTTTTTATAAGGTTTTTAAATAATTTTTAAAACGTTTTAAAAATGTATTTATGCGGTATTTTAAATTTACACATATATAAAGATAATTTGTTTCTATAAATATAAATTTCAAATTTTATAGTGTCTTTTTAATAAAATTAGAAATAAATATATATATATATATATTTATCCTAGTACCCAATAGAATCATGCCACGTGTACGCTTCTTAGCACACTATTTAGATCTTAAATAAGATAGCTTCTTAGTCATTTTGATGTATTTTTGATTTAATTAAATCACAAATAATCCTAAGAATTGTCTAAGATCTTTCCTATAATGTTGGTCTAAGAGCCTGCCAATAATATTGCCCTAAAACCAGCTCCATCGGTAATATTGATGTGAGTCTCCAAAAAAGTAAAAATATATTATTTTAATTGTCAAATTTAGTTTTTATTAAAAAAAAAATAAAAAAAAAAAATCTGATATGTGTGCATAAATATGTAAAAACGTGTTGCAAAATCTCCCTTTTAAGAGACTATTATCTCTCTCTTTCTTCACTTTTATTTTTTTATTAATTAATTTTTTTTAACACTTCTCTACGATATCTACGTTGGAGATGCTCTAATTCTGATATGAGTATCTCTTGATTTAAAAGCTGAAAAATAAATCAAAAATCACAATTAAACACAGAACCAGTTCTCTTAGGATGTGGGCAATTTTGATTGGTTGAAATGAATATCTGATGAAAAAATAAAACTATTCTTTTCTTTAATTCTTTTTGTTTATTTTGCCAAAAAAATAAAACACCTCTCTCTCTCTTCTCAATCTCCCTGCGACCAACGAAAAAATCTCAATCTCTATGTGTCGATTTCTATCAAACCTCTCATCAATCTCTCTCAATCTCTATGTGTCAATTTTTCTCTTGGGCATACGATTCTCTCTCTCTCAATCTAGAGGCAATTGAAGTTTTGAAGCGTTCTTTCTCAATCGAGAGGCAGTTGAAGCGTTGAAGCGTTCTCTCTCAATCGATATCTCTCTCAATCAAGAGGCAATTAAAGGTTTGAAGCGTTCTCCTGAGTGTTCTCGTTCGCCGTCGACGCCGAGTTACAGCCGTATCGCAACAACATGCGGTGCAAAGACCGGATCCATATTTTGTAGTTAAAAATATTATGAATTTTTTTTAATTTTTTTTTTTTAGAGAATCCCAACTTGAGAACTCTACCATTGGAGAAAGATAAATTAAATAAATTTGTGAAAGGTTCTCAACCAATAAAATTTCAAAACTATTAATAAAAATATTGGATGGAGTTGCTCTAAGCAGACTCTTTGAGTCAAGCACTTTCAACCAAAGAACAATTTCGTTGTTGAAAAAAATTTTAGTCGAAAGATACTTTGTTGTTCTCAATTTTTATAGTATTTATAAGTAAAATTAAAATTTGATATCAACAGAAATATAATTGCTACATGTAATAAATTAGCATATTGCTAACATGTTAATAAAAGAATTAGATAATTGCTAACATGTTATAAATTAACATCTATAAGTAAAAGTTACATATTTAATTATAAATTTAATATGCCGTTAATATATAACTAAAGACAGAAAGATAATTGGTAACATGTTAATTAAATTTAATATGCCTTCTAGTCTAAAGATACATTTTCTAATGTTAGTAATTCTCTTTTTGTTTTTAATTATATACTAAATTTTAACCCGCGTTATATCGCGAGAATTTTTTTTTTTTTAATTCAAATTTTATTATTATGCTGTAATTTGTTTTAAAATATTAAAATTGCATAATTCAAACTTAATTAGATCAGTTTGATTGGGCATATCTTATATTAGTTGTTAAAAATAATATAACAAATGTATAATCCTTTTTGAAATATAAGGTTAATGATATTTTAATATTTTAGTAATATCAATCCAAGCATCTCCCGTCATACTAATTGTGTATCTATTTAAAACAAACAAAATTTGTAATAACATTATTAATTCGATTTAGCCCGTTTTCAAATATACATATGTACGTATAATACTATCTGTTTACGCGATAAAAAAAAATTAAGAGCTAGCTAGCTAGTAGATGTTGAATAATCTTCATCGACCACAGTTTGGGACCTTCTGCATTATCTACTTTGGATATATCGATACTCCCACAATCTCTCCCTGTCATGTTTATGTTTTCTGTCGGCCCTGGACAGTGCAAAGTGAAGCAATTTGCTCAAGCCCCTTAAATTTTCCAACAAAATTACAGCAAAAAGTTGTTGCAAATAGGCCCTCAAAGTTTTCCAGTTTTCAATAAATAGCCCCCAGTTTTATAAAGTTTCAAAAATACCCGTAAAATTATTTCTTAAATAAATGAATTGAGGTTCTCAGTTTTTTGTTAGTCAGTCAACTCCTTATCGTTAGTCTGTATACAATGTGTAATACTATATAGTCTATATTAGCTCCGTTTGGTTTCTAATATATATTTTGCGACTACATCTACATGTATAGTGACTTCATTTTCTCTCTGATAAAAACATTGCAGATGAGGAAGGAACCTACGTACATACAGACATGAATATTCAGATGACTAGTTCTGCAAGGTAGCTAGTTTCAAATAACTTATACATATACACATAAGTTTTTTTGTTCTGTTTGAAATTTTGTAGTTGAAGTGATATCTTGTTGTGATATACAGGTCGGGTACTGGGAATGGTGCTTACGAGAAGATACGCACCACTGAAAACTGGAGGAAAGCCTGGAGGAAGTGCTTACTGGCAGTTTGTGGGTTTGCTTTGGCTATTGATACTTTGTTTCTCTTTATTCCTGAAATTAACTATCTACAAAAATGTATCGGTTTCAACGAAAAGCTTAGAACAACAGTTTGTTTCTTTCGTATCTTCATTGACCTATTATATGTTGGTATCATCATTTTCTCCAAAACACCTTTGAGAGGCAAGATGAGCGGAACAAAAAGACTCATCTACTTTATTGTTGACATTGTTTCTCTTCTCCCCATTCCTGTGGTACGTTAGCATTCTCTCTTTTTTTTTTTTTGTTTTTTTTTTTTAATTATTATTAGTTTTGAGAGATGTTCCAATACAAAATCTTGTAGGTAATGGTTTTCTACCTCCGTACTGAATGGTCTAGCAATCTGGTGACTAATAGAGTGCTCAAGTGGACCATAGTAGCGCAGTATTTACCAAGAATCATTCGCATCCATCCGATTTACAAAGCCGTGACAAAAACCACTACGACAATAGCAGAATCAAAGTGGATTGGAGCTCTTTTAAACCTTTCGCTCTTCCTGTTGTGTAGTTATGTAAGTCTTGAATTTTCTACTGTTTTATTTGTTATATGCTCGACATCAATCAAGAATTGTTGTTACAAAAATATGTGATGTCGGCTAGGTGTTTGGGGCTTTCTGGTACGTTACTGCAATTGAAAAGCGAAGCAGATGCTGGCGTAACGCTTGGGTGGATAAGACTAACTTTTGGATGAATAAGACTAATAACTTGTCTGGCGTTTTGCCACCACGCAATCTCACGGAGCTGTATTGTGCTCATTTAGTAGATGGTAAAAACAACAGTGTTTTTCTGTTTCATACATGCCTAATAAAAGACCCTGAAAAAATCCCAAAACCATCCAAATACTTGGCCGGGATCGAAACCAAACGAATATACGACTATGGTATGTACGGTGAAGTAGTGAAGTCTGAGGTGGGAAGTGCTAATCTAAGGGATTTTCCAAAGAAGTTCTTCTACTGCTTTTGGTGGGGTCTCCGAAATCTTAGGTTTGTACATTTAAACTCTCTCAACTTCTTGTGAGACGAAAAAAGATGATATATAGGCTATAGCTTAACCTTGTGTTTAATGATTACAGTACGTTTGGTGAAAGCCTGAAGCCAGGCAACTCGGCAACAGATATCTTTTTGGCTATCATCATATGCGCTTGTGGTTTATTCTTGGTTGCTGTACTCATTGGAAACGTTCAGGTATTAATTATGCGCATACGTACCACAGAAACTACATTTACATTTTGATGTCGTACGTCAAACTGATTCCTTTAGTATTGGTGATCACAGAAATATTTGCTAACAAGTACCGTCAGATCAGACGAAATGCTGGAGAGAAAGAAAGACACAGAAGCATGGATGACTTTTAGGAAACTACCAGAAGATCTTAAGAAACGCATTAAGGAAAACGAGAAAACCCTATGGAAAAATGTGAGGGGCACTGATGAAGAATCTCTTCTTCGTCGCTTGCCTGAAGAGCTCAGACGCGAAACTCAACCCTATCTACTTGATGATTGAAGGAAATGTCTCTCCGGAGATTAAATCCGTTAAACTGGATTGGCATCAAACTGGAGTAGAATAATCCGTTAATAATGGAAGAATATAATGTGCCTTCCTAATGTTTTACTATTGTTTAGGGACTTTATCTTCCCACCTTTCCCAATTCCCTCTTGTATTTATGAATCCTTTTAGTTTGCATCCATCTATTGTATTTGTATCCTTCTATCTAATGAAAAAAAACTCCATAAAGAGGCAGACTTAATCTGCCCAAAAACTTGTGCTTTGGGGACTTCTAGCTATCAGACGACTCAGTACACAGACAAGCTAAGGACTCCATGTGAGTTCTTATTAACCATGCAAGCTCAAACATGTCCTACAACTCTCTTTAAGTATTATCAAATTATTGGCCATGAATGTGCTCACATACTTTAGTTTTGTGTTTTAGGTAAGAAAATTTGCAAACAAACTGGAAAAGTATATAATATATATACTTGGTAAATGGTAATAGACAAGAATCAAGCATGCATGCAAAACTAGAAAGATTGATGTTGATACGGACATGGCATTCGCAAGGTCATCGTGCGAAGTAAGTTATAAAAAGAGTCAATGATGTAAGAAACTACAAAAATAACGGCCATTAATCTCCAACACTGAGCAGCTTAGCTGGTCTCGTAAAATAGAGTATTACTAAAGACTAGCCATAGAGGAGTAACGAACTATCAGAAAATCATTCTGTTTCTTTCTAAATGAAACTTTTCGCACGAATGAAATTTTTATATTCTTATTGCTAAATGAAATACTCTAGATGAGGTAGAAGTTCTGAAGTATGACTTACCGATGTTAAGTATGTATGACGTTATACTTCCATTATAACTACCACATCGTATCAGAACTATACATAACTTTGACCTTCTTTTGAAGCTTTCTGAATCGTAAGTTATAATCGTATATCTACCTGAATCGAAAGTTTTACTACAAATACACAAAATATGATAACAAGATTGAAAACACTAACTCATCCAACTAGCCTAGAACTTATGATTTAACAAAATTGATAACATTAACAGAAATGTAAAATTTGAAATAAAATGACAATTTATTCTTAATTAATTTTATAAATAATTTCTTCAATTTATTATAAATTTACAGAAAATATAAATATGCGTTTCAATATCTAAATTCAATGGATTTTAGATTGATTTCCACGATAGATATGAATTAAAAAAAATTATGATATCTGCTCCGCATCCATCTTTAACAAATGTTGATATAAAATTTCAAATTTTTTTTTTCACTATAGAGTTTAATGAATTTTGTAAGAAAAAAAATTGAATTTCACAAATCTTTTTTTCTAGTGAAATCAATAAATTTCTAAAAACTCCATTTTTTTCATTTTGTTGACTGGAGAGAGCTGGTTTTAATTAAGAACTTGTTTAGAATCAAAAGGTCGTGAAAATTCAAAGTGAGATCTGAAAGACAAAAAAAATAAAATCCAACAAATCTTATCCTCTGATCGCTCACGATTCCTCCTGAATTCTCCATTAACATTCACAGAGAAAATGGTACTGCTTCCTTCTGTCTCTTCTCCACTTTGTTTCATCTCTAACGCATCAATTTTGATCCATCTCTTTCTCTCTCTCTCTCTCAATTTGTACAGATCCGATTCATACTATTGCAGAACAGACAAGGTAAGACTCGTCTTGCCAAATACTATGTTCCACTCGAAGAATCAGAGAAACACAAGGTCGAATACGAGGTAACTCATTTCAAATTTCCTATCTTTTAATCCTCCTCTTATGGTTTCTCCATTAACTCCAAAAGCTCGGTTTTTTATTCTTAATTTTGTCTTCTTCATCAGGTTCATAGGTTAGTGGTGAATCGCGATGCAAAATTCACCAACTTTGTCGAGGTTTGTGTTCTGTGTAACGAGATTAGGGCACTCCAGTGACTATTTTTGGTAGAATTGATTGAAAAAGAATTGATTGAGGCTTTGAAGCTGAGTTTTGTTGTATCAAGATCTTTATAGAGAACTCGAACAACCCTTAATGAGACATGAAAATGTGAGTAAGAACCAAGATTGTAGGAATGCATATGATTCTTTATTCAGGTTTTGTATAATAAGATTTAGGGCTGTTGGTACTAGCACAGTATAGGAGCATTGCTCTGAGGTATTAGTTGTTGTTTGAGATTTTGATAGAAGCTGAGGTAGAAGTACCCAACTCATCCAATATCTGTGTACTGTATAGAGAAGTAGAATGTGATTAAGAAAGCAATATTTTGGAATGCATTTTATTTTTGTCACTGGTTATTATTGTGAATCTGTTATGTAACAAATGATAAAACTGTTTTCTGCTACTATTTTCAGTTTAGAACACACAAGGTAATATACAGGCGTTATGCTGGATTGTTTTTCTCTGTGTGCGTGGATATAACCGACAATGAGTTGGCTTACCTGGAGAGTATCCATTTGTTTGTGGAGATATTGGACCATTTCTTCAGCAATGTCTGTGAGCTAGATTTGGTGTTTAATTTCCACAAGGTACCAAACCTCTTTTGTTGCTCTTACTCTTTTTATATTTAGTTTCTCAAACTGCTTCTTTGGATTTAACCCTTAAACTTTAGCTTATGATGTTGTATAACCACTGATATCGAAATTGCTTCGTCTTTTCTCTGCTTAGAAGCTTTGAACTAGTTTAGTGTAAATGTTTGTAAGGGTAATCTGAAGATTTTTATCCATGAAGCTTCTAAGACCATCCTCAATGCTGATCCTTAACATGATCCTTAAACTACTTTTGGTTAAAATCTAATACATAATTCAACTCTATATATAAGGTACGTATGTTATATAAGGTACTAAAGGAAATCATAAGATCCATTTTTTCAATTAAACTATTAAAGAAATCATTAGATCCACTTTTAAGGATTATGCATTGAGGATGCCCTAAGGGTCTTTCAAATAAAAGCTTAGGTTTGCGAAAATCAAAAGCTAGTTTCGTTCTCTTCTCATTGTATTCGTCCCAATTCTACGCTGACCATCATGACCCGTTAGATAAATATATATAGCATTCCCCATTTTTGTTTAACTATGTGAATGCTTCTGTATGTCTAGATTTGATCTGTGTTTGTACTCTGCTAACTCCCTGTAATTTCAATTAAAAGGTGTATCTGATACTCGATGAATTCATTCTTGCTGGGGAGCTCCAAGAAACAAGCAAAAGGGTATGAATTTTTGTTTGAAGCTCTCCTCTTTTCACTAACACATTCCTTTGCTCAACCGCTAACCTTTTAAATGCTGGCAACAAATTTATACGTGCAGGCGATCATCGAAAGGATGTCAGAACTCGAGAAGTTGGAGTAATGATGGTTAATGCGTGCTAGTCCATCTGTTTTTCTCTTTTTCTTTCGTGGCGTGTCTGGAGCTTAGCGATGCTTTGATGAGTTGAAGACAATGTTGGTGTCAAAGATTGTGAATGTTATAGGAATGATTCTGCTGTTTTCAATCATCCAAAATTTGTTTATCTGTCTGTGATTTTCGTTTCAACTAGTGAGGTTACTATTTATCGCAGACATTGAATTCTGTATAAAATCTTTGTTTCGCAGAACTTTTGGTATCACATCACATATCAACAAGATAGAAACTGCCAAATTATCAACAAGATAGAAAGAGTAACAGTGAGGGATGTGAACAAAATCGAACTTTCTTTGATAAATTGATGCTCGAAACAGCTTTAAAGATCCTTGTCGATCCTTTCATTAGCCCATGTCTGTGGCTTTTGCTGTTATCCAAATTCATTTCTGTCTTCCATTATTAGGATTCACCAGGTCATAGAAACTCACACGAGAACTTTTCTTACCAACCCAACTCTTCAACTCTAACAAGTTAGACTTACTGAGTTGCCAAACGCATCACTACGGGGAGACACTTTCCAAGTTCCTACATTATTCAAGACTGACAGACACTAACAAATATAGATAACCCAGGGCTTCACCGTCATGTATCTCTTTTCTCACTACCCAACTCTTCAACTCTAGTAAGTTACACATACACTGAGCTGCCAAAGGCAACTTTACCAAGAGAGACTTTACTATTTCCTGAATCAATCAAGCACATAGACACAAACACTAACCAATATAGTTAAACCAGTGCTTATCAGTCCTTTACCTAATACCCATTGTTCTGTTAATTCTATCAAGTCCAGCATTTTCCTCTGGTTCTCTTAAGCTCTTCCAATGAACTCTCAATTCTCAATCACTTTGCTCTTCGCAACACATCACCAACCTCCACTAAGAATTCAGTAACCTCATTTCTATATCTTTACCTAAGTCATATTCTTCTTGGATAAACTAAAGTTACTAAACTGTTGCACAAACAGCAAACTTCACAAAGGTTCAAGGTCTACCACTTAATTGGAGCACAACACTAACCAATATCTAAACACATGACTCACAGGAAATATGTATCATCTACGTTTCTTGTCCAATACCCCTAATACCATAATACGAGTCAAGCATTTCCCATTAGTGTTCTAAGAGTCTCTATTGAATAACTCAACTATATCCGTCAGAGATAAGAAACTACATCATTCAATGGATTTGCTCTTCTCAAGCAATGCAATCACCAATCTCCAGTAAAAAACTCAGTAACACCATTTCTAAATTCCAACTAGCAAGATTCAAAACCTCACAATTCTCTTTAGAAAACCCCAAAACTGTTACACAAACAATAAAATTTGACAAAGGTTCAAGATCACATCACCAGCTAACAAGACAAGTAGTGACAAATAAAAAAATAAGTCAAATCTTTGTCTTCTTAGGTTTCACAGGACATATTACAGGAGAAGCAACATCATCACCTTCTTCATCAGACAAGATTTGGTCGGGGACATCATCATCATCCGGAACATTAAGCTTTGTGATATAATCTTTGAGTATCTTCATACTTTCAACTTTCATCGAAACCAATTGGTCCAATACAGTATCACCCTTGTTTGATGAATCAATGATGTAGCGCTCTGTCCCAAGCTTGAACTCGACTTTAACTAGATTCTTCTTACCAGGGACTGAAACGTTTCTCTCAATCTCCATATCGGACCTGAAATAAAAAAACTAAAGGAATCAAAATTACGGCGTTGTAGGAGCAGAACCCTAATAATGAATTTTAATTTAGCTTCGTTACCGGAAAAAGTTAATTTTGGTGGAAGAAGAAGCAAAACGACGATGCAGCCGAGAAAAATAAACAAGTTTTAGCGATTACGAGTTTTGCTGATTTTGGTAAAATAAATTTTATAATAATTAATCTTTAAATATACTTTACAATTATATCAAATAATTATATTCACAAATATATCCCGCACGTATGTGCGGATCCAAATCTAGTTCTCTTTTAAAATTACAAGGTTCAAAATGTTTTTACATATCAAAATTAAGTTGTTACCGTTGTGTGTGATGAAGAAAATTTAACAGAAACAAAATCTAGGTATAGATTTGCTTAAACTCATATTAATATAACCGTTGTGATTTTATCAATTTCCTTTTCTCTTAATTAAACAACTCTTCTTCTCAACTCAAAGCTTCTTCTTTTTTGTTAAACAACTCAAAGCTTCTCAACCCTTCTTCTTCTCCGTTCTTCCTTTTGATCGAGAAATCAAAATTCTCTGTTTCTCTCACTTCTTCTTCTTTCTCTTCAACAAATCAATATCCTTAGTTCGTTCTCTCTTGTCGAACAACAAAGCATAACCCTCTTCGCCATCGAATCTCTGATTCATCGTTGGTGTAAAGCTTCTACCTTTATAGCTTTTCTCTGGTTAATTTGTTGTTGTGAGATTCGGTTTGATGATCGAGATATGCAAACAGGGCGATCATAGAATGCTGAGGCTTGAGACATGAAGGCGATCTAACCTCTGCTTTTGGTTCGTGTTGGGATCTAACCTTTACCCTTCCTCTTCCTCTTTACCCTTCTTGTTCCTCTCTCTGCATATGGTCTTGTGTCTTAGAAGTTGAGAACTTTTATCCAATTTAAGGTGTTTATTATGTAGCAATTGATTTGATTCGATTTGTGTCTTCATTGAATCTGGAAGCCAATGTTTGCCTTATGATGATTCACGTATTTGGTTAGTATTCCTCTCTTTGGTTTTGTAATGAGTATTTGTGCTTCTCTCTGTCTCCTTCTTATATGATTTTTTTTTGTGTATTCTTGTGTTAGAATTCCTCTGTTGCTTAACTGTTAGAGTTATATGTATTTGTATGTGAGCGTTACAGTGTTAGCTATGGTTTTCTGACATTAACTATTACAAAACCATTGATCTGTAGACAAGGAAGTTTCAGACCTTTTGATAGGAGGAGGTTTGTTCTTTCTTGGTGAGCTATTAGTTTCTACTTTTCTGTTGTTGTTGTTCTCTTGTTTTTGAATTTAGTTATATTAGTATATATATATTGTCTTTGCAGGTCTTTGATGTTGTTCTCTGTTGTTGTTCTCTTCTTTGCAGGTCATTGATGTTCTCTATAGTTCATGAAGATTTGATCAAGATGACTTCCTCACAATTATCCAAAAAGAAGAAGGATCATGTAGCATCAGCATTACTACGTTTATAACTTGAGGTATACTGTTTTGATTTGTGAGTTTCCATTGGCATTGTTTTATTTTATAACTACTGAGCTCATGTTGCTTCTCGACCACATATAGAATTATTACTACCTCTCTGCAACTTACAGGACTGAATCTCATAGGTGTGTGTAAATGCATATACGATTTTGGATTGATGCAAATGCAAGCCATCTTGTGTACTTTTTAGTTCATCATCATACATGTTATAGCCTTGTGATTCACGTATCATATTTATCATTCATCTCTTTGTTTTGAACTGAGTGTTATGCTTTTGTTTCAGGGTGGAGAGTCAAGGTTCGATGGTGACTCAAGGCTCGATGAATGTCTTCATTGATTCTCCATCGATTCTCTATTTTCTTCAGTTATTAGAGACTAGAAGAATATTTATAAGAGGAATATTTAGAAGAATATTGAAGAGAGGAACAGAGGTATTATATTAGCAGGTTCGTATGATAGTTGTCTTTAGTTTTATCAAAGTAATTTGAATTTTTGACGATTATGAAATGAGCTGATGGGTTTGTTTTTGTATTACGTGTAGCAAACTTCAGAAACGACCACGGATGGAGTCGCCTCGCCTCAGCTCTCAGGATACTTAAATATCACAGGTATATTTCAACTTTTCTAACTTAAAAAAAAAAAAAAATTAAGAGCAATTGATTTTGATTTAAAAATATACATAAAGAAGAAAAGATTTTATGTTTTTCATTTCTATTTTCCTGATTTACAACTACATATCAAGGTTTTTTAA